TGTACACTACCGTCTGGTTAACACAACGACCACATTTTTTAACCAGACAGGAGTGGGCCGAAGCTCGCTCGACACAAGGGCGTACGTCGCTCGAGTTACGGTCGGCGATCTATCGATGCTCGCACGATTTCTACACCATTCAACCAAAACGTACAACAAGACATAATGATTATCATTATATCAAAATCTTTTTATACACGTGTACCTGAACAAAGCTAATAATATATATTGTTCTAAAACTTTGCCTGTATACTTGTAAAATAGTATGAATCTTCCGGTAAACAAGATTATTAGTCATTCAATGTCAACAAAGTAGACAGAGGTAAAAAGACCCATGCAATATAAACTTCAACTAGTAAGTAATATCTATCACATGAAGGCACCCTAAGGAAAAAAGTCAATCTCATTCCAGAATGAACAAGTGTAAACGTTAATTTATTATACAATCATCTGAAATAAGGGCCCTCCTAAAAGGACAAGAGTAAAGGATTTCATGTGCGTTCAATCAGTTGAGGTCAAAATCTAGGCATTTGGCCTTATATAGTTCGTCATCTTTTTAAAGTGCTTTTGTTCATTAACGAATGTTGATGTAACAAAAGGGCAAAGGACGATTTTGTCTATTTTTATACTTTCTCGTAAACATAACGTTAACAATCAGTGGGACGTTGCTCCTGCAAACTTTACACAGTATACTGTCAATGCAATCTCAAAGAAATGTCACAGGTGCTGAATAAATAATAACTTCACAGGAGCTCGGCCGAGGCTCGTAGAACCTTCGTCCGACACTGGCACGAAGCTCGCTCGAAGCACGCACGATTTTAAAAACTTTGCGCAAGTCGGGCGAGGTACGGAAGAGGGTCGCCCGAATATTTCGCGAAGCTCGCGCGATGGTCGACCGTATTCAGCGACCGTCGCCCGATTTTCAAAGACGAAATACGGCCGAGACTCGTGGGATGTACGTCCGAATATCGGTCGACTCTCGGCCGCATAGGGACGAGCTACGGGCGAGCTACGCGCGGGCTGGAAACGAGCTCTGCGACCTCAAAAATCGCCGGCGACTAGTCGCTGATGTTAAGAACACGTTTCGCGTGTCAGCGAGCTTCGGCCGACTCCAAAAAATCGCCGGCGATCCCGAAAATTCGCGCGATGCTCGACGGAACATCGGGCGTACTACGGCCGTAAATGTCGTTTAGAGCTCGCCAACTAGTCGGCCGATCGATTTACGCGCAATGTGACGGGGGTATTAGCACATGTTGTTTTAACAGACAGCAACATTGAACAATAGAGCCAAGTCAACAGGCGTCGGCACGGTCCTTGAAATCAGGTTTCCCGCCGCCGTGCGTTTGGAAAAGACGCCGCGCCGTGGCTCATTCAAATTCGCTAGATTTTTTCCATGTCTTTACCCACGATTTTTGACCGTCAATGTTGACGGTAAGGACTAAACTTTTTACCGTCAGACGGGACAAATTACCGTCAATTGACGGTAAAACGGGCGCTGGCTAAAGCCCTGTTATGCAATAACTACAAACGTCGCTTTGTGCTTAGAATATTTGGTCTTTCAATGGCTTGTCAATAGAAACAATCAGTGGGAAAATATTTCAGCTCAGGTGATGGGCATGAGTTTGAAACACAGCTGTCCTTTTCGTGTGCAGTAGGCGTCGTTGTTTGAACGGTTCATTTCTGTTTTAACCTGAAATCCTGTTCGTGTTATTTACTTTTGCAGTAGACTGTAGACTGATTCGTGCTTAACGGTAGATTACATTTTTACCAGAAAACGCGTCGGCGTTATTTACTTGGAAATGATGTAATATTTTAAAGCTCCTCCCAAAACGTCAACTCCAGGTTACCTATGCCAATCATAGACCTGTCTTTTCCTCTATTCATGGTATTGTGGACACACTATTCCCCTAAAAGGTATGTTACATACATGAGTGGCAGAAACTTTGCATACTTACCTTTATAAAAAACATTAAATGAGCCACTGCACCTCAGAGCGCCCCGGTCCGTGAGAAGAGAACAACAGTTCAGGTTCTTGTGTTACCGCGCGCCGTCAACTGAACAAGTAAGTTCTAATTGTTACTTATCTAAAATATGATGTATACTACGTGTTCAATGATTCCCATTCCTCAGACTTTTCTACTTCTTCAACCGTAAGTATTGCTTAGTCATAAAAGGTTTAGAACCGATGATCTTCAGTGACTTTGGGACATAGTTTTACCCCTGTCTTCTAACTAAACAGTATTCACAAAGAAGTGTCGGATGTATCTTTAAACAGCGTCCACCATTGTGTTTGCTTTAAGCTAAATTTAAGCATATACAGTTAAGTGTTTGTAGTTTTTCTCGAAGTTAGTTGACGGTTTTCGTAAACACTGCTCAGTTAGTCAACTGTCCGATGTCGGCTTTAGTGTTGTAACAAACGCTGCCGGCAACAATAATGTATCTGTCGCCTAGGAACTAGTTTTATTTTAAAGAAACTAAAACTTACAAGCTTTTAGTAGACTTTCTAGCGCGGTAGGGAAATGTGCCGATAGCCTGTGGACTCATGTTGAGACGCCCGTGTCAGCTCGTTAGAACACCCTTTTACATCGATTTGGAAAAAAAAAGTCGTCAGTAGTCCAAAATTCCTAAGCACGGTGTCAGGTACACTCGTATGACTATGTTGCGACCGAACTGAGACCCTGTTAGGGCACGATCACATTTCCAAGCCGCGGCCCGGCCGGATTGCTTGCGTTAACGAAATATATAAAATTGGTATTAGGAGCATACACAAATAGTGCTCATGGTTAATTTTCTAAAACTTTTTTGTAAGTATTTTGCTGTCTTATAATCTTGTTCCAAACGGCTGTCCGGTCGGGCCCGGGTTGGGAAATGTGACCGCGCCTTTACCTGCAGCGGCCGCCTGGCAAAGCCATAGTCTCTTCTGCCACTGTCAGACAGCCGGCGCCTTGTTTGCAACCCGCGTTAAACCGAGCAAGGGAAAAAAGTTACCCCACAATCCTAACTTTTTTTCTCGTCGGGGACTTATCCGTGTTCGGCCGGCTCAAGACGCACTCGCTAGCTGCCTGCCACCGCAGTCAACGGAGCCCCTGCCCCGTTTATCCCCGTGGGACCGCAGGATTAGTCGGACACCCCGCTCGGTCGCCTTAGAATGCATGGCTTGGTCTACTGCTGTAAACAAACAAGACTGGAATACGATAAGCAGCCGAACGCGAGACAAAGTAACCGGCACCCCGAGGCACTCAGTTTAGAGCACCAGGGAGAATCCGGCAGGGAGGGCCGGGACGAGCAGTGACACGCCTCGCGGCGAACCGCAAGCCCGGTCCCAAGATCCAACTACGAGCTTTTTAACCGCAACAACTTTAATATACGCTATTGGAGCTAGGGTTACCGCGGCTGCTGGCACCAGACGTGCCTTCCAATAGATCCTCGTCAAAGGATTTAAAGTTTACCCATTCCAATTACGGGGCCTCTAATTGCTATTTTATTTAATTGTCATTCGCCATATTTTTCGCCACTACCGAGTCGGGAGTGGGTAATTTGCGCGCCTGCTGCCCTCCTTGGATGTGGTAGCCGTTTTTCAGGCTCCCTCTCCGGAACCGAACCCTGATTCCCCGTCACCCGTTGCCACCATGGTGGACACAGAATATACCATCGAAAGTTGATAGGGCAGACATCTGAATGATCTGTCGCCGGTGCGAAGACCGTGCGATCGGCTGGGTTATTCAGAGTTACCAAAGGGACCGGGGTAAATCCCAGGTTGGTCTTGGTCTGATAAATGCACGCCAGACTGTGAGGTCGGCGCCTCTTCCGCATGTATTAGCTCTAGAATTACCACAGTTATCTATCCATGTAGGATGTGACGATTAAAGGAACCATAACTGTTATAAAGAGCCATTCAGAGTTTCACTGAGTCGGTATAAAATTACAGGTGCATGGCTCAATCTTTGAGATAAGCATATGGCTACTGGCAGGATCTCCGGTGGCGAGGACGTCACGCCAGGCGGGGCTTCCCGCCGGAAGAAGATTGTCCAAGGCCCCGAGAGCATGCCCCCCGTGCACCGCAAGCCACTGCGTCCACCGACGACGTGGGTCGAGAGCAAGGACGCCAGCGGGCGGCGGGGTCCAGCGAGCGGGAGGTCCAGTTCACTCGATCGGCGAGGCTGCACTGCTCATTTCGTCGCTGGGCAGTTCGTCGCTGGCCGCGAACCCTCGGGAGCCTGAACGCAGAACTCCCGGCCACACCTTACCGCTGCTTCCCTCCCACGTCCGAGCTGTCCAGTCGGAAACGGTCCCGCACTCTCACGACAGACGCGTCTGTAGAGGAGGCAGACGGTCGGGTTTTTGACCGTCAAGTCCGCAAGGCGTACTCGCACCACGTGCTCGCACGCAGACGGAAGGGGCGAGAAGTTGGAGCGGCCGCCTCATACATATGTCGGCAAGACACTGGTTTTATTTTAAAGAAATTCAAACTCACAAGGTTATATTAGATATGTTTTAAATAAAAGTGTCAGGTAGACTTGTTTGACTCTGTTGCGACCAAACTGAGACCCTGTTAGGGCACGGTCACATTTCCAAGCCGCGGCCCGGCCGGATTGTTTGCGTTAACGAAATATATAAAATTTATACAAGGGGGATATACAAATAGTGCTCATGGTAAATTTTCTAAAAAATTTTTTTTTTTTTTTTTGTGAGTGTGTCTTATAATTTTCGTTCCAAACGGCTGCCCGGCCTGGCCCGGGTTGGGAAATGTGACCGCTTTTTTACCTCCAGCGGCCGCCTGGCAAAGACATAGTCTCTTCTGCCACTGTCAGACAGCCGGCGCTTTGTTCGCAACCCGCGTTAAACCGAGCGAGGGAGAAAAGTTACCCCACAATCCTAACTTTTTTTCTCGCCGGGGACTTATCCGTGTTCGGCCGGCTCAAGACGCACTCGCTAGCTGCCTGCCACCGCAGTCAACGGAGCCCCTACCCCGTTTATCCCCGTGGGACCGCAGGACTCGTCGGACACCCCGCTCGGTCGCCTGAGAATCCATGGCTTTGCCTACTACTGTAAAAAACAAGAATTTGGCGGGAACACGATAAGCATCCGAACTTTTTTCTACGATAATATAAGTAGCCGACAAGCTTTTAGTAGACTTCCTAGCGCGGTAGGGAAATGTGCCGATAGCCTAGCCTGTGGACTCATGTTGAGATGCCCGTGTCAGGTCGTTAGAACATCCCTATTACTTCGATTCGGAAAAAAAAGTCGTCAGCAGTCCAAAATACCTGAAAATGGCAAGAAACATGTCTTTATTTAGATATGTTTTAAATTACAAATGTCAGGTAGACTCGTTTGACTATGTTGCGACCGAACTGAGACCCTGTTAGGGCACGGTCACATTTCCAAGCCGGGGCCCGGCCGGGTTGTTTGCGTTAACGAAATATATAAAATTTGTATTAGGGGGATATACAAACAGTGCTCATGGTTAATTTTCTAAAACTTTTGTTGTATGTTTTGCTGTCTTATAAATTTCGTTCCAAACGGCCGCCCGGCCGGGCCCGGGTTGGGAAATGTGACCGCGCCTTTACCTCCAGCGGCCGCCTGGCAAAGCCATTAAATCGAGCGAGGGAGAAAAGTTACACCACAATCCTACCTTTTTTTCTCGTCGGGACTCATCCGTGTTCGGCCGGCTCAAGACGCACTCGCTAGCTGCCTGCCACCGCAGTCAACGGAGCCCCTTCCCCGTTTATTCCGGTGGGACCGCAGAACTCGTCGGACACCCCGCTCGGTCGCCTGAGAATGCATGGCTTGGTCTACTACTGTAAACAAACAAGACTTTGGCGGGAATACGATAAGCAGCCGAACGCGGGGCAAAGTCACCGGCACCCCGAGGCACTCGAGCACCAGGGAGAATCCGCCGGGCAGGGCCGAGACGAGCAGTGGCACGATTTCCAGCGGACCGCAAGACCGGTCCCAAGATCCAACTACGAGCTTTTTAACCGCAACAACTTTAATATACGCTATTGGAGCTTGAATTACCACGGCAGCTGGCACCAGACTTGCCCTCCAGTAGATCCTCGTTAAAGGATTTAAAGTGTACCCATTCCAATTACGGGGCCTCGAATTGCTATTTTATTTAATTGTCATTCGTATTGTTGTTTTGTTTTTTTTTCGTCACAACCTCCCCGAGTCGGGAGTGGGTAATTTGCGCGCCTGCTGCCTTCCTTGGATGTGGAAGCCGTTCCTCAGGCTCCCTCTCCGGAACCGAATCCTGATTTCCCGTCACCCGTTGCCACCATAGTGGACACAGAACATACCATCGAAAGTTGATAGGGCAGACATTTGAATGATCTGTCGCCGGTGCGAAGACCGTGCGATCGGCTGGGTTATTCACAGTTACCAAAGGGACCGGGGCGAATCCCGGGTTGGTCTTGGTCTGATAAATGCACGCCAGATCGTGAGGTCGGCTTCTTCCGCATGTATTAGCTCTAGAATTACCACAGTTATTCATGTAGGATGTGACGATTAAAGGAACCATAACTGTTATAAAGTATAAAGAGCCATTCAGAGTTTCACTGAATCGGTATAAAATTACAGGTGCATGGCTTAATCTTTGAGATAAGCATATGGCTACTGGCAGGATCTCCGATGGCGAGGACGTCACGCCAGCCTGCCGGAAGAAGATTGTCCAAGGCCCGGAAAGCATGTCCCCCTTGCACCGCAAGCCACTGCGTCCACCGAAGACGTGGGTCGAGAGCAAGGACGCCGGCGGGCGGCGGGGTCCAGCGAGCGGGAGGTTCACTCCACTCGACCGGCGAGGCTGCACTGCTCAGTTCGTCGCAGGGCAGTTCGTCGCTGGCCGTGAACCTTGGGGGGCTTAACGCAGAACTCCCGGCCACACCTTACCGTTGCTTCCCTCCAACGTCCGAGCTGTCCCGTCAGAAAAGGTCCCGCACTCTTATGACCGACGTGTCTGTAGAGGAGGCAAACGGTCGGGTTTTTGACTATTGAGTCCGCAAGGCGTAGTCGCACGCAGACGGATGGGACGAGCAGTCACCGTTGGGTCGGTCGATACCTCCGCGGAGGCATGCCCCGGCGCTGAACGCCCTTGGCACGGCCGACTTCGCTCGCGACCCCTCCTTTCAAGCCTGTTGTCCACCTCTGGCTGCCGTAGCTGGCAGTGGCAGCCTGGTCGTTGGGGTAGCAAAACGACTGAAGAGATTGTGGGATGAACCGCGGCCCACCGTCCTCTACCTCTCAACAGGCCGGCCGGGGCCAGAAAAGGGGAGAGATAAGTCGATCCATCCCTGTCGTTTCCCGAGCTAGTAAACAAACGACCACTCTCTCAAGGTAGGTCGACCAACCCGTGCATTGTCAGACACCTGTAAAGGACCATTTTCTAAAATTTACCGAGACTCGCCCACGGGCAACCGGCCCGCCAAGCCAGGTCACCACTCCCGGTCCCGGTCCGCAAGTCCAATGGCGGCAAGCCCCGTTGAGTCTGCCGTACGCCGTTAAATCACCGACACACTGCTGAAGCACGCAGCGGCCGCGCTGCCTTTAGCCGCGCTGCCGAAGATCTGCTATGAAATTTGGGGCACACCCCATTGTTCAATGGTCCATATACTACTACTTCTACTACTATATATCTGGCAACAACTTGGTATAACTTTATTTCGCGTCGGTGTTGTTGCCATGGACAACAAAAGGCCACATACCTTAATTATGTATCATATGCATCACATTTTTGTAAAAGTTTTGTTGCATACCCTTTAAGGAAAGGCTTTTTAGACGTCTTCAGCCAGTAAAAAACGTTTACAGCTTCATGATTTAATTTTACTTGTACACCATCCACTTTAACCTAGACATGCGAAATTAGTCTCAAGCCTGACGGGGGGTAAATATCATTTTTATTATACAACAAGAGTTCCACGATCTCATACCTTCGCCAAATGATGTTAACCCTTGCGGTGGACAAATTATACAATTTTAATCATTGATTTCGCAAATAAGAGCCTCATTTGCATGTATTATATATTAGTCGATCATATTCTCCACCCAATAACAGCCTTATCTTAACAAAAAGACTATTATAGCACTTCCTCATAAATTATGCAAATAAGGTCATGATTTGAATAAATTATGTTTATTGATGTTCACATTCACTTAACTTCCAAATGTAACAAGTATGAAATTCCCAGCAGTTACAACTATGAAATTATAAGAATATCCCATTAATTATGCAAATTAGGTCTTTATTTACATAATCTGTATCTTAAGATGTTTTTTCTCATTCTCAATTACATGTCACAAGTGTTTTAACAGTCCTATTTTGGAACAAAGCAGATTTATAGAATTTATTCATTAATTATGCAAATTAGGTCCTGATTTGCATAATTGTCATCTTATTATGTCAAGCATCACTTCAGCTACCTACATACCAAAAATCATGACACTGCGTCAACCGGTTCTTGATTTATCATCCTTCGAAGATTTTTCAACAAATGCTCCTGCAGTTCCAGAACAAGCCGCTAGGGGACCCAAACTCATTTCACTTCTTCCCTAGCCCAAGAGCTGCCTGTCATCCAAAATTCGTGACCCTAGCATGTTCAGATCACGAGATATCAAAACCGGAAGTTCTGCTGCAGTACCTAGGAAAGCCGCCAGGGGGCCCAAAATCTAATCATTTCTAGCTCTTATGAAGACCTACCCACCTACCAAGTTTCATGACAATGCATATTAAGCTTCTTGAGTTATGCTGTTCACAGACAAACAAACAGACAAACAGACGGACAAACGCTACTGAAAACATAACCTTCTTGGCGAAGGTAATAAACAATGACACAAAACAATTTCTCCAAACCCCCAGACAGGTAGTGGGACGTAGGATAAGGCTAACTACATAGGAGGTACAACTTATGCTCGAAAGTGAAGGAAGGTGTTTTAACTAATGTAAGGCGTTAGCCATTGTCTTTACTGTCCATAGGCGGCCTTTGAGAGATACACTAGTGTAGCGCTGGTAGGCACTAGACTTCCAGTCGCCTTGGAGTTTGATTAGTTCAGGTGGGAGTCCGCATTCTGACGCCCATGTCGCAGCGCCACGTCGGAAACTGTGGCCACTGTACGCGGAGTCCGGGTAGCCACATTGTCTGAGTAAAGTCCGCAATGTAGTGACGAAAGGTTTGTGTGTCAGGGGAGTAAATCCAGGCCCCGTTTCCTGGGGAGAACAGACGCTGGTCCGTCCGGCTCGGCCGTGTCCGTCAGGGAGAATGCCTTTTCCACCGCTGTGGTAGGGCATAGGGGAGAGTCCGTTATTCGCGGGATGGGGATAAGGAGAGTCCGTTCTTTGAACTGGATCGTTTTGCTTCAGCGCACTGTGATGACGGCACCCCTGTCCCTGTCAAAGTATCGAAAGTCCCTCCTGCACAGCTGTTTTGTAGCGTCGAAGTCCTTTGCTGTTTTCGGTAGGACGTTAGATTTACGGAAGAACGAGAAGAAAGCAACCCCACAGGCTGCCCAGAATACTACATGGTAGGCCCAGGAGAAATCCAGTTTGTTGTGGATGGCGCGCAGGATTGACGGAGTTATCGGAAGCTTTTGTTGGTCGCTGTCGCCATGGTGACGGCGGATTCCGCGCAGAGTTGTTTGCAGTAGCCAATTGTCCTGTAAAGGGTTCTCGTATCCTGCCTCTTGATGAAAGATGCGTATGATATTGAGGTAGCCGACGATGCTACTAAATTTTAGTGTCCTCGCCAGGAACACTGCGTACCTACAGATGTTTTTGCTGGTCGCCGGCACGGGCACATATTTGTGATATATGCAGAATCTTAGGTAGGCCCGCTGCTGAGATCGGTATGTTGACTTGGTTGATTCGGCGTAAACCCCGGACCGGAAGCGCTGGATGTCCGTGTCCAGGGAAGGCTCGCTATCCAGGATGTGGCCTGCGGAGGCAAAATAGATAACGCGTTAGTGGAGACAGGGGGATGGTCACACTTGATCTGTATGACATCTGAGTTCTGCCTAATCCACTGCTCTAAGTCACTTTCCGCTCGGATGGCACACGTGGGATCTGTTAGTCGCGACAACGCGTCTGCAAGGGTATTCTCTGTGCCTTTCACATGACGCGCATTCATGAGGAAGTTGTTTGTAGCTGAGATCCAGAACAGCTCTCGGATGTGTCGCATGAAAGACGGCGATGGGGAGGTGCCGTTAGGAGGATTGTGTAGAGTTCCTTCTCGTTTATGTGGCTGTCACACATGTGGGGTTCATCCGCTTCCCAGTGAACATAAAACCAGTCTCCGCCATAGAAACCCGCTCCGCCGCTGTTAACACGCATCAGTGCAGGGATAGGTTGCTTGTCAATGAAATACGCAATCCCATTAAAAGTCGTCCTAAACTTAGTCCACCATTTCAAGTCCGCTCTCGCGTCGCTTGTCAGTCGTCCGAGATGGTTGGGGTGCCGCAAAGTTTTTGCCAGTTCAATCAGCCGCCGTATAAAAGCCCGCCACGCACAACTCTCGCCGCCCAATTTAACTTGCCCAGCAAGCTGAGTAAGTCCCGCTTTGACACACGCTTCCGCCCGCTAATGTCACAGAGTAGGGTTCACGTAGAGTAGGGTTCGCAGTTTGGTTAATTTGTCTACAGGTAGAGACAGTGTTCTCTCCGCCGCATCTATATCGATTCCGAGGAATGTAAGCCTTCACGTGGGGAAGATTACTTTACGCCAATTAATCTCAAACCCTAAGTGTTGTAGCAGTTCAAGCAATGTCTCAAAGGCGAGACGACATTCCTCATACGTTGCATCGATAATGTGGAAGTCGTCCAATTGTATGGTATCCGCGTCGCTTCATGATACGTCAAACTGACTGAGATATCCTATGAAATATTTCTGGCGCCTTCCGGGCACCAAAAGGAAGACGTTTGTCTACAAGAAAAGTGTACTCACAGTCTCCTTGAAACCGCCACTTCAGTCCAGTTGCGCTGTATTTGGATGGGTGGATGGGTACTGACCTATACGCGCTCTTGAGGTCAATCTTTGCCATGTACGAGCCGTCCGCGAGCATGCTTACTGCATCATCAATCGACTGGTAACTAAAATGTACCGATTCGACGTAATAATTAAGGGCTGATCCAGTCATGAATGAGACCTACGTCCGCAGAGTCTGCCTTGGGGATCGCGCTGAGTCCGCTAACTTTGGTCGGTTTTTCCCTGCGTCGCTCGTAGTTTCCTTTTGCAAGTTCATTCCGAAGTTGCATCTCGACTTTCTCGCGTGTGGTGGGGTCGGGCACCGATTTGTAGTTGTCACATTCTGCGGGAGAAAGATTGTTATCTTCAGTAAGAATTCGAAATCCGTGTTTTAAGCCGTCCAATAAGAATTCTCTATCGTCGTCCATTTCCAATGCCGTTGTCATGTTGGAAGGTTGAGTGGTGACTGGAGTTGCTATTTAGACTTTTTGTGTTCGCACTGTGGGTGGGGTTCTCCACACCCCGGGGTTATGCAGACATGGGTATAGTTCCATGATGGTCGCCGACATCCACTCGGGTTTTGAAAGTTGCGACAGATCTCCTGCCCCTCTGCTGTTTTCGCCCGGTCGGTACCAGGTTTGCCGTGCCCTAGGGTTGTGCGGCTTGGCAGCGGGGCCTGGCTCCGTAGGAACCGGGAGAGGAGTTGCTCGGAATCCCTGCCCCAGCGGAAACCGTGGCGGTGCTGGTTCATGCGATACTGGTTGTCGTACAGCATTACTGATGCAGTGTCATAAACCTCGAACAGCTCAGACACCTTAACTGTGTATCCGAGGTAGTCGGCAATGTCTTGTCTTGTCTGCAGTTTATTACCGCGGATAAGGGCGTCCCTGATCTCGAATATTCTCTAACTTAGGCCGGGTACGGGACGTGCGTAGAATGATAGCCGTCTGGCCGTCACGGGCGACCTCGTGGTCGGTCTCGGGTTGAGTATACTAGTCGACAAAGTCAGGTATGAGGAGTGGTTTCTCACCTGGCTTTACAGAGGGGTTGTCGTCGCTGGCCTGGACCTGGGTCGCCTGAGTCGCTCCTGCTAGCAGGTCTCCCGTGTCTTATATTTGTCCGAGGATGGCAGTCACGGCAGTCCTGCTTCAGGTCATCCAGAGTGACCTTCGCCTTCGCGGCCGCTGGCACTGGTACTGTTCCCGCCTGGAGCTTGGCCGTGGCCTTACACAGAAGGGCGTACTGCCCGACTGTCAGCTTCAGCTGTTGTAGAATTGCTGGCGTAACGCATGACAAGGCAAGGTCCTCATCGGCAAGGTCTGCGTCCTCTAGTGCCTTGATTGTGGTCGACGTCAGCTTTGACGTGTCAGACCATGCTTTGAAGTCGAATGACATGATCGATAGAGCAAGGACTAGAGCTAGAGCTTCGAACGTCCGCCGCGCGCTGAGTCAGGCTGGGAATGACTTTCCCAGCCTGGTCAGGCATGCGGCCTGGCATGCAGTGTGGAAACAATTAGCAACGCTCGTTAACTACGCTATATGCCATGGGGTCGACTCAAGTTGTCAAAATCTAAATAAACAAACTTTATTTTCTACTAAAAATTTTGTGGCTCTACGACATCACACACACACGTCCCATGATTACCTAAAAGTCTGAATAGGGTTGAAATCCCGAATTCTTTTGTGATTCTGTCATTAACTCTCAGGTTTGTTCAATTATCCGTTCTTATCTTTTATCTTCGGAAAATGATCGGGTGTATTTGTAAACTGACACTTCAACCAAATCAAATACAGTATTAAATCACATCTAATCTGTAGATATTATTACTAAACACTAATTTCCCATGGTTCATGGTGGGATGTTTCATATATTGGTGACTTTTAAGGACTGCAGACGTAAATGTGTAAACAACAAATGTGTTTTCCAGTTTTTCACGCATTCCGATCAAGCACCTCTCCCAATACTGTTAGACACTGAGGTAGATAGTTAATGTGTGCTTACTGTATTTGTTTATTTGCCACATGGGTGCCATTTGTAATTGAGATGTGTGTTTTCCCCAGGTACAATAGACAACAATGAGGACCCCAACACTGGTCGTGGCCATCATCCTGGCCATGGCTATGGGTATGTACTGTATTCTCTCTTTCTGAATATAACGACATTTTAATAGTTTGATTAAAACGAGTGATTATTAAAAGCCGGCCTTGGCGCACAGAATAAGAAAAAGAAAATATAACACTATGTTTGACCATAATCATTGCAGCAGACAGATCAAGCAACAATAAGGATTTTTCCAGTTATGGAAGTAAAGATTGCCGAAGTAATGTCACCCTTACTAGTTAAAATATTCTGTTCCCAATAATTGCGTTTTGTAAACAAAGGTTCAATGTTGTTATGCTTAAGGTTGATATTGAAATAATGTCAATGTTTTGGATTGACCTTGGAAGAAGGGATGATATAATGCGTGTTTTTATGTTTTTGTTGTCTTTTGAACATTCCAAGAAAACTGCAACATATACTGACGAATGAAAAGCATATACCGAAAATATCAGAACCCCCTCCCCCACCTGAGAGCGAAATGGAGCAAAAGATAAAAAAATAAAAGGCGATACGATAAAAACACCACAGAGAAGAAACTCAAAGATTGGCAAGCCTTTGCTGGCAAAACAAACTTAGCCTTGCGTGCACTTGTCATGCAAACAGAGATGTATTTACAAACCCATTGTGAGGGATGCAGTAGGGTGCTGACCGACTCTTATAGTTCGGCCAGGCTGCTCTTACAGTTTGGCCGGACAGCTAGGACGGCGTCTTAACGGCGGCGTCTTGCTTGACGACGTCTTAACGCAATTTTATTATTTTGTCATAGCGGGGGATTCTGCCAACATAGAGAGGCTCCTGCATCAGCTCCGATTGCTAGCAGGTTAGGTGACGCTTTGCAAATTATTTTCTTTTATAGTCTCTCTCCCATTAATAAAGTATATATGTTTCACTCTTTTTTTAAATAAATCAGGTATTAGTAAGCTGTTACAAGCAAAACACTTCATGATGAACTTATTGTTGTAGAAAATGCACGACAGCTGTGACTTGATTTATAACGTGTTCTATTAACATCTTGTATGTAGGTGAGGAAACCATGGATGATGCCTCAATGACTCACACCAAAGGAAAATCTGTCGACACTGAAGAGACCCAGCTTTTGGACCTTGTAAAGAAGTTGAGTCTTGAGTCGAAAGAACCGGAGCCCATTGGTGAGTAGAAGTATTTATTTGTTAAATGGTTTGTTGTGTTTATATGTGTTTGTGGGCCTGTTTTCTAATTAATTGATTTGATTACATTTAGCTGGTAGTTACATTAGGTTGAGAATAACACATTAACCTTCAGAGTAGGCAACCGTGGAAGATATTAAAAATTGAGGTAAATTTGACTGTAGTAGGATGAGCTACACTTTTCCATACTATGTGCCTTGCGAGTAGAAAACCATTCGTGTGACTTATAAATGTTTCCATAAAGAACGCAAAATAGTAGTAAAGTCACTATTGAAGAAAGTTTTTAGCATAATACTGACCAGATCGTTTTAATGCTATCGGGGTTTCCGAACTAGACCTGGACAAAAACGTCCGAACCAGATCAAAAGTAAAACGACCCACAAAATGCAACAAGACTAAAGAATAAAAGAAACACTTCATGCTGCAAAAAGATATACTTAATGTTGAAAAGTCAAAACAATCTCCCTTTTTTCAAATTGCTGTAGACATACACACTTTTAGCACTAAAAGTCACTATCATTGACAAAGCTATTTGTTGTGTTAAACTGCTGTTTTCATAATTATACAGAATAAGGGTCTAAATCTTTTTTAAAGTTAATTGAAAGAAAAAGATTATTCTCTAGTAAAAATTGATGTTTTGATGTTGGAAATTTCTATCGGCAATTGTGTTCCTTGAAGTATTGAGAACTGCAGTTTGGTGACTGTGCAATCAGAGACACCAGCCGAACAGCTGTGTTCCGTTGTCAGGCTCTTAACTTAGTAGGTCAATGTGGTCTGTGCATTGTATTTACTTGTTTGGAGGAGGTTGACTTATTTAGTTTTCTGTGCAACATACATGTAACTGAAATTAGTTATCTTCTTGCCCAGTCGCTGACATCACATGTTAACGGCATGGTAGCCAGGTGTAGACTCTAATCAATGACAGCTTACACCAAGGAGGCTAAAACTTGTCAACAAATCTTTATTCAATGATTTTATAGCCCAGCTTTCGTTTTAATGTTCGAAGTACAGGCGATAAAGAAAATTAAAGGTATAAATAAAAAGACAAATATATTTTTAGTTTTCAATTCACTTGGAATTAATTGGTTATCACCAGTATGGTTTATGTTGTTGAGCTATTCCACTTGACTTTGCTGTATCGAAAATCTTAATTATTTAATCATAAAAGAGCATAACATGGAACTGAACATTTCAATTGATTATTGATAGAATTTCCTAAAACCAACAGCATATTTTTAGTAATTAACGAATTTTAGCATCCTCCGTAAACACAGATGGGGATGTGAATGGAGAAGGAGACACAGATGTAGATCCGAACTACGAGATGGCGGAAACTCAAGATCCAACTTTAAAAGGTGAGACTGTCATTTACAGTAACATGTCATTCTTATTACATTCTACTGTAGCGATATTTATCAAATGTCGGTTAAGTGACCGCTGTATTTTTCCAATTATGTTTTTATTGAGGTACTTACGTCCCAACTACTTTCATTCCTGAGAGTACTGCATTTGTTAAGAAATAATGCGAGTCTTAAAGATTCGTATTTTGTGAAACAATTATTTAGTGGCCTGGTCATTAATGTCCTTATTCCATGTTCTATTAACTACAGACTTCAGTGGTCAAAAGGTTCCGGATGTAGAGGAGAACTACGACATGGCAGGACTTGGAGATCAAAACCCGACTTCAGAAGGTAACGATGGTCACCACGTCCCTTATACATTACATGTAAAAACACCTTTATCCCCTTACTAACGATGTGCCATTACGGTTCAGGGATAGTTGTCTTTAAAAGCGTTTATCTTACCCTAACACATTTATCTATTATCTATCCTTTGTAATAGAATTACGTTAAACGTAAAATGAAATGGTTGTTTCCAAGAACAAACACCATTTTGCACAATAATTAAAGCATACCTTCATGTTCTACCACACGCAGAGGGGGAGGCAGAAGGAGGCGAAGTTACTGAGCAGAACTACGACCAGTCAGAAACCGGAGAAGAATATTCAACTTCAACAGGTAACACCTATCATTTTCACTAATATACAATATTTTTAGCACCTATCATTTTTAATCATTACATTTGAAATATCTAATGGCGTTAAATGACATCGGATGTCACTGATGTTAACCATGCGTTGTTTTTCTTATCCAAGATCATCATATTAGATTGAACTTGACGTGATACGTTTAATCGTATACCATCATATTACGTAACGTAGGCAATTTATACACACTTTATTCCTACAGAAGATGGTAGTGAACAGGCCCCAGATTTTGGACAGAACTACGACATGACAGGATTTCAAAATCAAGATTCGACTTCAGAAGGTAACGATGGTCATCCCGACTTTATTACAAAATATCTGTGAACACCTTAATGGTCATGGATCATCATCCTTAAAAAGAGTTTTACTTTATCTAACCTAAAGGCACCTCTGCATGTGTTGTCTACCTTTTCTAAGGGAATAAACGTTACGTAAAACTTTTAAAAATGATCGGGTTGTTACCTAAACAAACATTAAAGCATATTTGCATGTTCTACCACACGTAGGGGTGGAGGAAGAAGGAAGCACGGATGTAGAGCAGAACTACGACGTGGCGAAAATTGGAGAAAAAGATTCTACTTTAAAAGGTAACAGCTATCGTATATCATTTTCCCTTACAGACCATCTTATTAGGACCCAACATCACAAATATCTAAAGGCGGTAAATGACTAACTTTTAATTTTCCTCAACTATGCTTTATTTTCATCACATTAGATTTTATTTTACAAACATAACGGAACTTGATATCTAGCTATTTCATGTTGCATAATTTACAGAAGATGAACAGGCCCCAGATGTAGGACAGAACTACGGCATGACAGGACGTGAAGATCAGGATCCAACTTCAAAAGGTAACGACTATGCTTTTAACTAAGAATGTACGATTACCGCTCAGGCATATTCTTTTATGAGTGTTTTCCTTCATTTTACCCTAACACGACTATGTGTTGTCTGACGTTTCTAAATGTTGTTTCCTAGATCTAGCGCCATACTGCACTGTTATAAACTGTATGTGCATGTTCTATCACGCACAGAAAGGGGCGTATACTATAAATCATATGTAATGAGAGACGATGACTACTTGCTGTCAGCAATATTTTCAAATTTACCCCAAGTTCTACTTCCCTTATTTCTTTTTCCATCTCCATTATTATAGATTATTTTGACATAATGGGATTCTAGAAGATGTGTATTTTTTTCGTAGTACAAATTTTATATAACTTGGTAATTAATATCCATATTGCATGCTCTTATCAATTACAGAAGTCGGTGGTGAAAAGGGTCCGGATGTAGAGCAGAAGTACGACATGACAGGTCGTGAAGATCCAGATCAGACTTTAAGAGGTAAGGATGGTCATCATGTTATTATAACAGAATTTTATTAATGCCAAGATTGTTTTCTTTTTTTTTTATTTACATAGGGTTGAGAGCATCTTACAGAAATGTGCTCATAAGAATTATTTGCTCATAAAACATTAAGATGGCACAGATGGCGTGACAAATCCAAATGTATAATGGACAGAAAATAAAAAGGGCTGACGCTCTAATAGAACCTATAACTTCATGAGATTGTCACAATCTTGTAATGTGATGAAATGAAACACAATATAGACGATACGGCAATTTGTAGAATATGAGAGCAAAGCGTGCAAAGGGTGGTCTCATTTGAGTTGAATCTGTCAAAGGGGAGTATGTTTTTAAGATGTAAGCAGGTCATGGAAATATTTTGGTCATTTTATTAATGTTTAACAGTACAAGTAGTGTTCTAGTGTCTCATTAGATACCCACATCTGCACATAGGACTAGTGATACAGTAATACTGGAACAGGTGGTAGTTCAGCTGTCAGCTTAGATGTATTGCATAATGTCTGTGGTCGTGTGGATAATGCGGATGTCTGAGTACGCAAGCAAAGCTTGTTTTTGCTGTTGATTTTACCCCAAATTGGCAATTAAAGAGGTTGAAGAAACCAAACTCAGTTGGCCTTGTAGCTGAAGAAAGAAACAATTCGTCTCACATACAGTTATTGTCCTTCCGAATCATTCCGCGGCAGAGACGGTCGCTAGACTAGAGGGTGTGCAGCTTCGAATAGAAACCCCAGACTCCACAAGAAGCCTTTTAAGCTCTTAGGAATTCTGTTTTTAGAGGTTTACCATGACATAGATACCATGTACTTCCGTACTTTCAGGAATACATGGCTGGCTAAACACGATAACTTAAGGAGGCCTAAAAGGATGGCCTTGCTATGTGATAAGTGTGTGGCTCTTGACGAGACTTTAAAATGGTTAGATTTTGCCCCTCCCCGCGGAATTTTATGGTACTGCATCGTAACTTCCGGTTTTAAAAATAGCATGATCCAGACACGCTAACCTTACAGATTCGTATGGTAGATGGCTCTTTTGTTTAAGACGTGGTGACGCAAGTTTAGACCCCATTACATATTGACTGATGAAACTATTTTTTGCTTGGTTCAACAGCAATCCCAACAAACTTTACTCGTCAGTGAGTGAAATTGCAAAATTGTTTCGAGAGTAGCATGTTGTGTCCAAGATAAGTTTATCCTATTGCTCTCAGCATATTTAATGAAAATAAATGCGAATGGTATTTCGATATAAAACTACTGTCAACTATTTTGATAGTAATTGACATTAGGTATTGCCATCAAATTAGAAATGTTTCCAATTTTTAGACAAGTTTAATAACTGTTACAAAATACTGTATTGAAAACTCAGCAGTTCATTCTTGACAACAGACAAAAAAGCCATAAACAGACTAAAAGCCATTACTACATGTTTGTTGTCCTGCACCACTGTGACATCTCCGGGATCAACAATATTGCACCAATCAAAAAGTTTGAGAAACGAAACAAAAATAACTAAATAGCAAGAATCATAACGGGGGCACTCATAAAACACACTGTTAAATTGACTTGCATGAAATATTACAGTTATTAACCCCCCCCCCCCACACACACACACACATGCAATAGCTGCTGCCATGGAGAAGCAACTAGAGCTTTTGGAGAGGGCGGAGGATATCCTTTATGATCTGCAGGATATAACAGGTAACCATCATGATCTTTGTTGCCTCAATAGCAAATTCCTCTTGCGTTAGATTTAATAAAGAGCTGAAGAACTTACATAGGACTTAATTGATGTTAAATTGCCTTCAAATAGTTGCAATTAAACTGAAGTCTTACAATAATATAGATCTTTACATTTTCTTACAGGGGAAGGGCATGCCTTTGACGGTAGGGCAGCAGATAATGCAGAGACTCCTACTGTTGCAGAAGAAAAGGAAAATGATGAAGGACTAATCATGAAGAAAGGTTGTGAAGACCATCAGGTAATGGGATAGGTCTATTGAAAATTTCAGTATGGTAAAAATATTCTAAACGATGTGCGTTATGTTCAGTCTGAATAATCTTTTTTGTCATTCTGTGCTGTATTCAGTGGCAAGCAGCATTTTAGTAGAAATTCTAAGCATCCTTATAAGCTCTTAACACCAAGTACAAACTATATTTTTGTAATTTGTCGCATAAATGTATATCGATACTTTATCTTGTTCATGTAGTACGTTGCCTTGCTACATCATTACAATCTACTGCTAGTTCTTGATTGCTGCAAAACTGCATTTGCCCAGATTTCTATGGAATAATGAAATATCCATGCTTTTATACAGGAGGGACACGAATGGGGTACGTCTGAACATGACAACTGTTACTGTCAATTGGAAGGACCAGACCTTTTTCGTTTCTGCTATCATGTTGACTGCCTTAATGGTTCTGAGATTGTTCGTGACTACAAAGGTCTCTGGGACTGTTCAGGTGGCTTTTCAACAGGTAATGGTTGCTCAGGGTTAAAATTGTGTGCTGCTTTTAGTCAAATCCAACTGACTTATTGTGTCATACAACTCCGGTTCTTCCCAGAACAAATACAAGACAAGTTGGTAGTATAGTAGTAAGTTTTCGGAAAAGTTATAGTAATTACACTTTCCAGCGATAAATATCCAGTCATTCAACACATGTACATGTGAATACAATAATTGGTTCAAAGAATAAAATGTCCAGGCCCTTTTGTCTAAAACACATCAGTCTGATAAATGAATCAGAAATTTCAAACATGAGCTGTAAAAATCTAAGGCATTTTTACCTTTCTCAACTTCTTACTATACAAGATGACCTCTTCATAATATAATTATTGGTTTTGGCACGCGTTTGTTTAAACCAATTATATTCTGTGATGGTTCGTTAAACTTTGGTCTAGTAATGCTCTTTTTGAGTTGGTTATGATAACAATTTACATTTTGGTATTTTCTCCAAGATACCCAATATACATATAACTGAGCCTCGAATTAAACTACGTGAATACATATTTATTAGTCACCCATCTAATGTTTGAACTCATTGTCTCCGCACTGCATTAGCTGACAGCAGTGAGAAGCTCGCAGACATGAGCATGTTGAAGGACAGCCTTCTCAAGATACTGGAAGGTAACAAACGAGTTCTCTTAAGTATTCATCTGCCCATTCAGTAGATCTGCAGTCACAGCTTCAAACATTTACTGCCCGTTAAATCTCGCTTGAGAGGGGAATTAATAGATAAATCTCTTTATAGAAAACTACAAAGCCACAAAGTTCAGGTAAACGTCACTGGCTCATTCATGTATGCCCCAATTGTGTAAAATTGGGCATTTCAGATCATCAGGTACACTACATGGGGAGCCATACTCCTTTCTATGTCTTGTTTTAAAGCAAATTTGTTCGCATGGAAATGCAGTGGCTTGCTTTAATTTCTTGCAAGAGAAGGTTATCTGTTCTGGGCCATAGAGCATCTGATGATGTGGTGACTCCTATGTGAGGTACTCAAAGTCCAATGCAAAGTCTAAAACGTGAATTAAAAGTGTTCTAAACTCGATATTTAGATCAACAGATGAATCATTGTCCAATTATGGATCAACATTTTGACCCTCGTCGGCCACCTTTGACCTTTATTAGATTTCCATTTGGTTAGGGTGGAAATGCTGCATGTTTTTGTGGCATTCAAGTAGAAGTTACTGATTAAAGTTAACTATCATTTTTTCCAAATATTTTTTTCATATACCTTATCCATATCTCAACATTAATATATTTAGCACTTGCCAATTTAGACACCTTTAAACACCTCGTGCTTCGCACAGACATACTTTTAAAAGACAAATTTGGTCTGTACGCATTCAGCGAACAAAACTCTACGACATCCTGTTGAGGCTATGTCAAGTACTATAACAAGAACAAATATTTTTGATAATATAAAAAATGGCAAAAACATACCATTAGAATATTCATGAAGGCATAACTCAGGACTGGAATCCTTCAAGATAATGGTCTAAACGAGAGATTGTAGTGCAACTTGTCTTCTTTTCAACCATCTTTGTTGTAAGTTAGAATGATATAATCTGAGCAAGCACCACTTGACTAAAAATGGACTACAAAATTTTGACTTTTGGCATCCCTAGATGTGAAATATGACCTCTTTGTTGTTATATGGGAACAACATGGCAAATTGTTAACTTAGCACTTCACGGTAGGAGAGCAGACTACCTAGGCAGAACAATGGCCACTGTTCACACCTTTACCTGGCAGTGGCCTTCCTGCTAGACAAAGCTTGGCTTGGTTTTAAAAACAATACACAAACATGGTCACAAGTATGGGATGTGTATAGAGATCCTCTTTATCCTACAAGTGCAACATACATACCCTTGTGGTTTTACGAAAACTATGGTCATACCTATAAAAAATGTAACTTTTCAAATGTCAGAAGTGCATTTTGTGATCATGAAACTAAGAAAAACACGCATGTGTATAACTCACAACAAAAGAGACAACACCAGACAACCTAGATAATACCTCCTGGACCTCTTTAATGTTGGTTGCCACAAGTATATTCATATCTGAATCAGCCAGAAGTTCAAACTTGAACCCGTTTTTTGCTATTCACCAAAAGGTTTATTACAGATGTGTTGTCTGTTGATATGATAAAATCTCTGAACATGGAGGTAGAAAAATAGTCACATAATTGATGATGACATTTTGTACTACCCGGTCAACATGAATGTTTAGTGCTAAACCCAAAGTTGACATCGCCTGATACAAAACAGTGTCAGTCAGTGCCGAACAAAACAGAAGGGGCTAGTATTTGAAATTACAGCTCGTTTATTGGCTTGTCTTTTTATTTACCAGCAAGAGTAGTTTCTTCAAGTTTTGAATGTCTTCTTTTAAACGCAAGTTAGCAACTCATGGAAACCTGAGCATAGCGATCAGAATACTTTTAAGTACAATACTGGTTTCGTGGTTTGCAAAATGATAACTTCAGTTTCTGTAATAATTTATGATTAAGGAGGTTAAAATAAAATATCCAGAAATATGCCAACAGGAAAACGTTTTGAAATGGGGCCCATTGTTTGTTTTTTTACAATACACATTCTAGCTTGATTTTCTAGACAGCCAGCTATTCAGGCCATTTACACTCCACCGTGTGCCGGGTAGCAGCCTGGCCTAGTCCAGCGGCACCCCACCTGAAAAGTTTTCACACTAGGTGGAGAGGGAGCAATTTTTGAACAATGGGGAAAATCTGTGAAAATTCCGGTCGAAGGTGGTGGCTATGTGTTACTAGGGGAGCAAACGCCCATTTCAGTGGGAGCCCAGGAATTGACTTAACTTTACTGTGTATTTGTTTTAGTTGTTGATAGTGAATCAGATTTATTTTTTCAAACCAGCTTGGTGTTACTTGGTATTATACAGTGAATTGCTTTGTTACAGGAGAAGATTATCTTGACCTTGGGGTAGCTGATGATGAAGAGACTCCTGCTGTTGCAAAAGATAATTCTCTTGACCTCCGCAGTGATGCTGACGAAGGACTTATCAAACAGACAGGTTGCGAAGGCCATCAGGTAATTGGACTTGTCATTAAAAAAATGGCAAGCTTCAAATAGTAGGATTAAGAATTCACAAAACCGGCCTGGTGTGATGTGATGCATTTGTTCAGTTTTTATTTAAATTTGTCAGTGGTAAAAAACAGTAACACAGTAGCATCATATTTGCTACATGTATAACAATAATTGAAAATGTCATTGTTGGGCCTGCTTTACGTACAATACATTCAAGAAATCATTAATATCCAGATATAGTGTTAAGAACACTGCCTTTACTGTAGGACTTGCATGCTGAAAGAGTTCATGTTTTCTCACAGCTGGGAGAGCAGTGGGGTTCATCTGGTCAGAACTGCATATGTGGAGGATCGGGCCGCTTCTGCTATCCTGTTGTCTGTCTTCCCGGTTCTCAGATCAAACCTGACTCCAAAGGTCTCTTGAGATGCGAAGTTGATTCCTCCAAAAGAGACATAACAGGTAACATTGATACCGACGAAATGTTGGTGTATGACACATCCATTTAAATTAATAAATAAGATACTTTTTAAAAGGATGCTCTTATGTGTGTGCGCAGTCCAACTTTTCGACCTGCTGGCCGTTCCCGGTCAAACATGTCAAACAGTCACTATCTATACAGCTACTTAAATGCACTTCATCTTGACACGTCTTTTCTTGCTTGAATATAACATTAAAATCCTGGTATCAAATCAACATTCTCGTATCAAGGTATCTTCTCTGGATCGATAGCAATCATTCACTGATACATCAGTACACAGAAGACAAGCTTCTCAAAATTACCTTAACAGTTATATTCATGATCCACACTGAACGTCTCATTCCCTCAATGTAGTTCTATAAACTCCACCATTCTGATTCTTGTTCATGTGTCTAAACTCTAAGAGGAACAGAAAATAACCTGTTCTGCCACATCTTTTACATCGGAAGAACTATATAAAAAGCCTAGTGAATAAAATGCATATGGTTCCATGTATCCCCAAAGCCTAAATAATATCTAAGCATAAATGACCATATTTTGGATCAACCTAAAGAGTGGTAACATTATGACAGTTTCCTGTCTGTTGCATTTCAGGATCAGCTCTGGGCGTGACTAAAGGAGAAAACTTAAAGGTAGTTACCTTAAATGAGGAATCAAGGACTTAAAACGGTGCACATTTGTTGATTTGTTGGGCATGTGGGACTCTTCCTTATACGCTTCTCTGTTAAACTCATTACGTAATGCGGTGCTTGTTTCCAGCGGGATTTCGGCGTTTTCACAGGGGTTGTTGGCTTAGTCGGATTCGCGTTGGACCGCTTTGAGTCTGCACAAACAACCCAACAGCTCAATGAAATACAAGGTCAGATCCGGGAGTTGGACGGGAAGATAGAGACCTTGACACGAAGCGTCAGTGACCTGCAGCTGGGACAGCAGTACCTTCAACAAGTCGTCCTGTATGGGAGAGACGAACTGCGACTGAAGAACGTGCTAGACACTCTTTCTAGGATGCAAATCAGCAATGGGCAGTATGTGGGCAGCGACATACAGGGTTGGGCAGACAGCGTCCTCAGTCATAATTCGGATGGAATCAGAAATGTAGGTACACATTTTATCAGATACGAGGGGTGATCCAAAAGTTCTCGGCCTCTCCCAAAAAACGTGATGGTTGAAAAATTTTTCTTACACTATTTTTTAACATAGTCTCGTCTAACTTCAATGCACTTGGTCCAGCGATGTTCCAGCTTTCCTTTCCCTTGTGGAAGAATATTTCGTCTGAAGCCCTTAAAAATGCCTAAACCACATCAATGACGCCATCATCACCATGAAAACGTTGACCACGTAAGTGGAACTTCAGTTTAGAAAACAGGTAGAAGACCCACGGTGCTAGGTCAGGTGAATAGGAAGATTGGGGTAAGACTTCAAAGCCACATTCGTTTGCTGCTGCCACTGACCACTGTGCTGTGTGGACAGGTGCATTGTCAGCACGTCAACTCGGAGCTTTTCTCCCCTTTTCTCTGTATTGTTGCCCTCAACTGCCGCAATTCTGGTGCACAGTACACTCCATTGATGGTTTGACCCTTTTGCAGGGAGTCAATAATGATTACCCCCTCAGTGTCCCAGAAAACAGAGGCAAAAACCTTTTCAACGGGTAAAACTCGCTTGGAAATGCTGGGAACCATTCTTTATCAACTATTTGCTCTGCTTTTTTGATTCGGAGTGAAAGTGGTGAACCCATGTCTCATCTTGGGTTACAAATCGTTTGAGTAAGTTGCCTTGATGGACTGAATTCGTTCCTTGAAATGCCCAGCCTGATTAACTTGTGATGTTCAGAAAACATTCTAGGCACCCATCATGCAGACAGGTTGGTCATCCCCAGGATGTACGACAAAACATTATGAACTGTACCACAAGTCAGGCCAAAGAACCTGCTACATGTTGGACAGTTTCACATCGGTCATTTACTACCATGTGATGGATGGCCTCAACTGGATTGTCCATGGTGCTGATTTGTGGCATCCTGACATATGTTCATCTTTTGTGCTCTACTTGACGCGCTTAGAGCTAGCAACCCAATTCTTTGTGGTTAAATAAGAAGTGGAGTCATCACCAAGTGACTTGATCATGTCTTTATGGATTTCCCTAGGAGACATAGCTTTTTATCGATACACTTGACCACAGCACACGCTTCTGGTGCGGCCATTTTGTGATTTGCCCTCACCTACCCAATTTTCACAAGGCGTCACGTGCTAATTAATGAATGTAAAAATTTGCATTTTTGTGGGCAGTGATGTAAGACGTCATAGTATACAGTTATACCAAAGAACTGGAGTTTGACCTTTATTTTCTAGGTGAGGCCGAGAACTTTTGGATCACCCCTCGTACTTCCGAAGACGAGATGCATGCAATGGGTGTCCAATACTTACTGTCCCTTGGTCGTGTCTGTCAGTGACTGCATTCCCCCCCCCAAAAAAAACGCCCCACTCCAAGCCACATTATTGTCAAGTTACGTCTATTGTCTTTTTTAGTGTGTTGCACTGAGAGAGTAAACTAGTCCCGATGAATTCACTTGGAATTGTTCTTCAATTTTAGACTTTTTAGATACATAGTATCACCAGCTTAAAGTTAAAGATGGTTGACTTCAGTTTACTTTATCTTTCCTAAAGGAACATTTTGAAGAAATCTTCTAACGTGCGATGTTGGTGTGATGTGTAATCAAGGTGTACGGTGAAGCTATCTGCAGAGCATTAAAGACTTGATGAAAACTCAGGATTCTTGGTAGCGTGTTGTTTGCTTCAATTCTTGTCCAATTTCTTTTATTGTCTTTTGCTTTTGCAGGTATTGCAGAATCTGTTAAACATGGTAAAACCACGATCATCGGTTTTCGGGGGCAAGTCTCTGTTCAAAATATATCATCAACAACTGTACAAAGGAGACCTGGAACAGTATGGCATAAAGGTATGCATCCTTTTTCTCTTTTTTTTTTTGACTTGGCATGCGAGTTGTACCCTTCGGAGACGTAACGTGGAAGGGATATATCCACATGTTTTACTATCATATAAATACATTTTTACATTACATATTTAAGAAATCATACAGCCATTAGAACGGGAAAGAGACAAGATGCACAAGAATACTGACTGTGATGAAATGTTTTGCACCTACCTAAATTAACAATCTGATAAATCTCTGGGAGATATCTAAAAGTCTTAACACATACCCTAATTCCCCTTCTGGTCAGCTGGGATACTCAGAATGTATAGTACAAAAGGGAAATTTATCTCATACATATAGTTGGAAGCTCAAAGCAACAAGTAAGAACCGGGTTTGAAAGTTACAAGTTTGCGAATTGCCATGAATTGGATTTTGTCCATACTGAGTATTAGAAATGGATGTTGATTTTCTCATGTAGATGCGCAAGAAGACTGGACAGGTATACGGACTGATCGGAGGTGGATACTGTGCATGGATTGCAGCTCTGCGAATCAAGGGGCGTGAAGGTGAAATTCCAGCTAAGGTACGAGAGGGGAAAAGAGAGCTCAGCAGTGTGAAACTAAGCCTGCAAGAATATATGGTTTATGGTAAGTCTGATGATGGGATGAGAATCTTTTCGCATGTTTATGCTTCAGAACTTTCTTCTAAAAGACATAATGCTGTGATAATGTGTTTATCAACTGATTGAATTTTTGTCAAGAAATTCCCCCAAAGCATTCAAAAACACTGAGTTGAATTTGACCTTCCAGTCATATCAGTTTAGTTCTTTTTTGTAACTGCTGTGTTTGTAAGGTTGGACATGCACTCCTTTTAAAGACATTCTGTGTAGAGGTAGAACAGGGACAAACTGATTGTCTAAAGAGAGCACTTAGGATGAATTCAAAGTAACAGCACATTGGCAGTATTTCTACTTGCAGGAAGATATATACTTTTATAAAAGAGGTTGTAGGTTGAACCAATTATGCCCACAGAGGTGAACTGTGTTACTGTAATGTTGTAACAGGCTTTTACATGCTCTGCTTCAGGTACATGCAAAGACGGTGATCAACTGAAGTACAGGAAGTGCTACAGAGCATTTAGCATTCACAAAACCTGGACTGACGCATCTGCGTACTGCAAAAACCGGGGAGCAGGTGGAAATCTTGCAATGCCAAAAGACAGAGACACTAATCGTTTCTTGATTCAGTTAAAAAATGATAAAAGCTCTCATTGGGGATTTTGGTTCGGATTGAATGATAGACAGAGGGAAAGAAAATGGAAATGGAATGATGGCACGTCTCTCGAGTCTTACAATTACTGGTCATCAAACGAGCCAAATAACGGGGGTAAAAATTGGTGGGGCACGTATAAAAATCCCGAAGACTGTGCAGAATATTTTCGGAAAAATCACAGAAACAGCGGCTGGAACGATGCCAAATGTAACAACTTGAGGTACTTCATCTGTGAGAGGTCCCCCAACAACGGTAAGTGTACAAAATACAATTCAACTCTCTTTTTATCAGATATCAAGACAAGCAGTGAATCACATGATGAAGAATTAGCAGAAATAGTTCCGTACTATTAGTGCTACTGTACGCGAGGGATCAAACAAAACATCTTATATACCTCCATTAAATATGTAACTTACAATTTTTGTAAATGCTTATTGTAGGATTCGCCTTCTAAGTATTGAGATAAGGTCATAATTACCATAATTCATTATGGCCTCGCCACACATAGTAAATTGTGTTCTCTGGTCGTCGTATTCTTCTTCTCCTGCTTACATTTCGTTAAATGGATTCGATTTCTTCATTTTGGGGCTAAATAACATGAAATTTGGCATGCAGGTAGAGTGGGCAAATATCCCCAGGCGTTTTTTGAGGCATTAAAATTGTTTTAATTGGGTATTTGCCATTTTTCAACAGATCACATCATCCGAAATTCGGTATGGGTATGCTTTTTTCTATGCCAAATAGTAAAGTATAATTATGCACTTACTGTATAGCAATGACGCATCAGTGAGGAATGCAGAGAGTAGCAGCCAATAGACATGCAGCTTTCAAGAAGGCAGCAGAACATAGTTTTTACAGAGCATGTGTAATGGCAATTGTCTTGATACTTTCACCGCTAAAGAACCATCGATTATTACATCCGGTTAAGGTACTAAGGTACTATCCGGTAATTCTTCTACTCGCCTATTATTGGTAGCAATGATCCGGCGTTTACATTGTAGGTGGACAATACTTAATACATGTAGATCTTCTTAATAGTCTCTGTCACCACAAAGTAGAATTGTTATGGAAATCAGCATTTGGAACAGGATATACTTTTCGAAAAGTTTGCATAATTTTTGGCATGTAGATATCTTAGACAGAGATGTACACAACAATATACAAACTATGTAAATAAGGACTCAATTTGCATACTTAAGAAGTACTTTTTATTGTACATTATTGTACATTATGGGCTTTCATACATGTTGTACATTTAAGGCCATTTTGATTTGATATTATGTGGATGACATCCGCGTGCGCATGAATTTTCGGCCGTTTCCAAGAAAAAGCTGTAAATCTGTACAAAACTGGTGCAAAATGAGCAAATTTATACCTTAAGTTGCAAAAAAATTGGAAACAACACCAATGTCGTAGAATGACAAAATCAAATGAAAAAGACGAATATGTAAAGAAATTAATTTCAAGAGTAGATTATTCGCCATACCATACTCTGTGTCATTTATTTAGCCTTCATGGCAATCATAACAAGAGTTCAACGATCTCATACCTTCGCAAAAATCTTTATGACTGACAAATTATAGATCCCCCCTTATCTAACAACTGGGATCATATTTTGATGAGCTATATCAGATAATCTTATTCTCAACCAAAAGACAGTCTTATATTAACAATGTCATTCCAGCATTTCCTTATAAATCATGCAAATAAGGTCCTGATACATTATGTTTAATGATGTTTACCTTCACTGGACTTTCAAATACCACACGGATAAAATTTCAAGCAGTTATCATTACAGAATTATAACATTTTCTCATTAACTATGCAAATTAAGTCCTCATTTACATAATTGATATCTGCCTGTGTTTCTTTCCTCAATTACCAATGTCACAAGCTTCAATAGTCCTATCATGAAATGCAGCTGACTTATAGAATTTCTCCATAAATTATGCAAATTAAATCCATTTTTGCATAATTGTCACATAATTATATGAATCATCACGTGAGCTACCTACATACCAAAAATCACGACGATCCATTAACCGGTTCTTGAGTTATCCTCTTTTGAATATTTTCAAACAAATAGCCCTGCAGTTCCAGAACAAGCCGCAAGGAGACCCAAACTCACGTCACTTCTTTCCTAGCACAAGAGCTACCTACCAGTTAAATTTGGTTACCCTAGCTTGCCTGGATCTTGAGATATCAAAACCGAAAGTTCAGCTACAGTACCATAGCAAGCCGCCAGGGGGCCCAAAATCTAATCAGTTCGAGCTCTCATCAAGACCTAGCCATCTACTAAATATCAAGATAATCCATATACTACTAGTAAGCTTTCTCGAGTTATGCTGTTGACAGACAGACAGACACACACAGACACACGGCCAGGAAAACGTTGACAGGACCATCTTGTCAATAATAGAAAATTTTGCGCTAGTGACAGGATGGTCCTGTTAATTATAGAACATTTTGAACTATTAAAATAGTGCTAATTTTCTGTTATTGGCAGGATGCACTTTCATTTTCGCGCTGAGAATTGAAGTAAAATCGCACGGTTCATTTTGCGAGCCTCATATACATAATTTATTCGAACTAAAGAAAACGATATTTTCTTTAGTTTAAGAGCAGATACAAAATTTCCATGTGATGGCAGTGACTTAATTGCACTGCGCAACTTGTATATGAATGTGAATTTGTTGCAGTCATAATATTTTAGTGCTCTCTTTATCACAGGCCACAAAGACTAAAGCATGGCATAGCATTGCATAGCATGGTTTGTAAAACTGCACAAGGAACCTTCCAAACACTCAAACACCTTAACACCCATTAAACCGGGCACAATAAAAACGTGCTGAGGTATGTGCCTACTTTACGCTTATGCCAAATTTCATGTTATTTGGCCCAAAAATGGCAGAGTTGAATCCCTTCAAAGAACTAACAGGAGAAGAAGGAGAAAAAGAAGAAAAGTGAGGGAAAACAATATGTCTTTATCACGTAGTGGTTGAGCCATAAAAACAATATGACTTTACCCCATAGTGGTGAAGCCATAATAAGGCAAAACCCAAACCTCTGCTTTGAGAGTAGAATAAGTCACTTTGGTCATATTACAATATACGACCTACAGAAATCTATTAAACAATTTGGCATACGCCACTTCAAAATGGTATAAAATGGGACTTTGGAGCTGTTTTTATAGCAGAATATCTTGTATTTGGTGTGTGTGGCAATCGGTGTTACGCATGACTACTTTGATATGCGTAACCTGTTTTCCAGGTAAGGGTTGTATGATGGTGATGATACTTGATAGGGTTGTACATGCTGATTTGGTGCTAAAGCGACGGTCACAACTCGCCGTACGTGCTTCTGCGTGCTGTCTACGTGCAAAAACGTGGGCAAACGTACGGCATCCGTGTGTGGTGAGTACCACCTCCGTACGGAATACTACGGATTTGGGAGCACGCAGACACGCCGTAGAACCTTAAATGCATGTAATACTTTTTCTACGTGCGGTCTGCGGATTTACCACCCGTGCGTGCGAGTACGTGCGACGCGCGTGCCCCGTACAGCCTATGAGCGTGCAACGTACGGACTCCGTGAGTCTAACTTCACTATTCTCACGTACAATTGCTGTACGGACAGCGCACGAAGCACGTGAGTGCCACGCACGGTGCTTGCGTCATCCGTGCTTACTCCTCACTTCCCAGTTGACCTGCTCAATGACCACGCAGAACACACGTGCACCATACTAGGTGCTCCGCACGTGCAACGCACGTGCAACGCACCTGATTTCTACAGTATATAAAGACGACTTGACGGGCGACTGCCAACTCGTCTCCAAGATGCCCAGGAAGGCTCAGAAGAAGACTACCAGACAAGATCCAAAGAAACGGGCCGCGGAAGACACCAGGGCGGCTAGTGATGATGAAGTTAACAGGAGGTGCACGCACTTACAACGTGCGAGTGAGTAAGGAAATCGTGCGCACGCCGCACGTGTAGGTACGGCCTGCACGCGGCAACGTGGCAATCGCACAGAGATCGTACGTTGTAAGCACGTACAACTCACTTACCACTTGCGCAACGTACGATGCACGCAACCGCTGACGGCCATGGGTGTCGTGCAGACTACGTACGTACGTACACCTTGCGAGTGACGTAGTCCCTCGGCCGGCCACCCTACGTTTGCAGAAAAAACGTAGCAGACGTAGCCACGACAAAAAACGTACGGACAAAAAGCACGCACGGCGAGTTGTGACCGTCGTTTAAGATAATTGGGTCAAATTCAGTAGAATTCTTAAGCAGATATTTGGTTGTGTTGCAAGATAATCTCCAAACACGAAGATGATGGCATGGATAGGTGATCTACAAACAGATACAGGGTGGCGTTGATGTTTTCTTTAAGCTGATATAAAAGCATAATTGGGGTTCTAATAAAACCTGTCAGAGCTTATCCAATCATAACTGCTAATGACGTTAATCGTTGCAGTAAACATTGCGAACGAACTGTCAAATATGTGCAAGCATGTAATGAAACATTTGATACAGCAGAACATCGACAAATTATTAGAGTTACACAATTCTGACTTAACGCACTATAACTATCTAGCTGGGAGTCTAGTACGTTAATGAACCAGTAAATTTATCATTACTCTTTATTACTTTCGTACAGGGATAAAAAACCACGTGATCTCCCTGGATGTAAGGGACTCAAAGTATGCTGGGACAAACGACAAGATCTCCTTTCGGATTCTTTCGTCCAACCGCTGGACCAATTGGTATCAGATTCCTGGTTCATTCTCCCGTGGGAGGTAAGAACAATGCATTTAGAAACGTATATGCTATTTGGAAGTGTTTGAGATGGGATGTTATTTATTGTTAAGAAAACTAAACCTACTTCTTTAACCGAAAAGCTTAAGAACATGACCCACTTTTTTTTTTGCCTCTTGACATGCAGGAGAGAGATTTTTAAATCGTAAGAATTCCAATTCCTCTCGGATGTAAAGGACGGTGATGTTTTCTGTTTTTGACAGTTAATAGTTAGCATAATTGTAATTTTGTAGACTTGTCGAAAGGCTAGCTAAAGGTCCATGTTTGATATTCACATCTGACTAATCACTACATTTTGAAAATTTTCTAGCTTTTTATAAACCCACATCAAAAAAACAGGGGTCCGCTTGGACCACACGCATCTATTTATGTGTGCCAATTCAGCGTTTTGGATCGGAAAAAACTGTCTTCCATGAGTTTGTTTGTATATATGTCGTACAACTTTTTTCTAAGTTTTTACAGGATTGCCTCATTGTATGGAAGTTATATCAGGAAGTTTATGTGCTGTCCATTTAGGTCCAAACGGACCACAGCAAAATATGTTCCTTATTGTCAGAATCAAGTATTTACTTTCTAGAAAAAAATATTGTTAAAGAAAGTTTTTTTTTAATTTTGCATGAATTATAGTTATAAGAACTATTTACAGATTAACGAACCGATATGGGTACAACAATGACAGAAAGAGCGAACGGTTTCAGTATTCTAAATAATATCTAGCTATTTTACCAATTTGCCAGATTCATAAAATATTTAGTTTAAGAGTAAATAAAGTTGGTCTTTAGAAAATAACCCTAAACGCTGCTGTCCTTCTTTGATTTGAGAACTTTATCATAGATTTTAGTGATTTATCTAATAAGGAAACATGATCTTTTTTGACAAATGTTAATTACGGACTTCGAAGAACTTTTATTCTCACACAACTAATGAAAGGAAGATATATAAAGATATATTGAAAAAAACACATTCTCGTTGTTTTGTATGATTTCAGAACTAAAACAGCAGATATCACACCGACCTTCTTTGGAAACTTTGGAAGACCCGACAAAATTGAACTGAAAACCAGCGGCGGAGACGCGCTGGAACTTGATCAGGTAAGTTTTGCAGGTTAATTGTAATCAAATTCTCATTGGATAAAGAAATGAAAAAAATCATATTTAAAGAAAAATATTCCCGCCTTATTCCTGATTTTAGCTCATTGACAATATTTGGAAATATCTTATGTCGTAATATCTTTCACCCGTTACATTTATATTATATTAGCCGAGAAAGAGTCCCCCCTATAATTTTATGGGGTATTGTTTTTGGATGCCTCTGTCTTTCCCTTGGGACGACGAAGGTCAATGTCAATTCCGATTCTCCTATAAAGTGGCTCTACTAAATGCAGCAGAATCTATGGTTTTCGTATTTTGGTTTCCTTGCAAGTTCGTGCCCGTATGCTAATTGCAAGTACATGTTACATGAAGATGAAGGATAGACAATGGATTACAATAAATAATATGTGACTACTCTAACACTAGTTTCTAACTTATTGGGCTCTTTTTTCGAGACAGTGAAAGGCGCACAATCCCACTTTTCTATAATGTGTGGGTGTTGTGATGTTCAGGACATGATGTGGTCTAAGTAATTTGCTGGCAAATAGTTTTTCATGTCAGGAAAACAGTGGTGTGTTTTTAATCTAACTACCAGCGTGTGCTGGGGTGGTGTGGTTGATAGCTTTCCATTTTCACATCTGTCAATATTTCTTTGTTGTATGTTTTGTAATCTTTGTTCTTCGTGGCTTTTTAAAAGCTTATCATTCACACTAATTCATAACAAATAGATTTTTGTCAGTTTTGTTCTTTCGCATCTTCTTTTTAGACTTGGAACTATTACTCCGCAGCAATTTGCTACTTAGGGTCCCCATTTTTATTAATGGACAAATATTTTTCAGATTCGCCTGTACAATGGATACACGTATGAGACCACCCGTTTCCGATGTAACTGTAAGCTTTCCAAGGACAGGGGAGAAGGCGCCCAATACAAGATAGTTGGTCGCTATAATGGTGAGTTGTCTGGCATCATTATTTAAAAGTCGTTATGGACATATATAATGTTCAAAGCGGCATCGCTGTTTTGATGCTGTTTAGCACAGTGGTCGGTCACTCGGGCAAACATCGCATTACTACTATAGCTAGGGGGGTCGGGTTACCAACGTGGCCGCACGGGAGTCCGGCGGGGGGGGGGTTGGGTAGCTGACGATAACGGTTAAAATTTAAAAGTAATTGCCAAGAAAAGTAAATTACTCGTCAGAATAAAATCAGTGAATATTAGTCTTTCGTTGTCTTTCCTCAACTTTTTGCTTCCGATTGCGATATATTGCCAATTAAAATCAGAATTTCAATAAAAAATTATCTTTTCAACCAAACGATTCTTTTTTTTTTCTTCCCAGTAGGTTGGATTGGTCGTTAAACTGGACGGAAACACTGCCGTGAAGATGTCGACGGAGCTTCACGAGATATGTGATTTTCTGACATTGATCGCTTGCGCAATCACCTTACTCCTTGTTCTAACTTCTGTTATTATCTACATACAGGTGCAATGCGGCATTTTGTAAGTCCCGTTTCTAATGTTTAAGATTTGACAAAGTGATTTTGGGCCCTCGAGAAATTTTATGTTTAAGAAGCTATAGTCACAATTTCAGCTTTAAACAACCTTTTTTCTAAAAAAAGTTTCCTAGCAGCACCTAATGGAACTGCGTTTATAACGTATATTCCGTTAATAGATTGACTGATTGTTAGGATGTAGTTAGCTATGAGTTATGTAAATCATACGTAAATAATTTTATCAGGTTGGTAAACGAATTAATAGCAACGTTCTTTCTCAACCTTTTTTTTCACGAGCCAAAGTTTCAATGACCGTTACGTTTGTCATCTTCATCAGGGCAATGCTGACTGGTTTACTGTGCACTGACGCTAAATGTTACTTGGTGCATAGTGCACTAAAAGTGTTACATAGTTCACAGTGCACTGTTACTTGGTTCACAGTGCACTTATGAGCTAGTTTTTTTTATTGTCAACAATGGATTTCCGAACGTAGTGCAATTGTGTGTCTTAGAAGAACACAAAGAATTACCAAAGGATTACCAAAAAGCCCGATCTGAATAGGGTTAACCTTTTGGAGAAAGTAATTTCTTTTACTTTAAAAATTGGAATGATCATATTGTCTCAAGTAGACGCTGTGCCGATATTTCTTTATTATTTCACATAGTTTTTTCGTAGTTACTCTAGTAGACATGGTCAGCATTGTCAAGTCGTTAAATACTGCTCAAAACACCATAAATTCGGTAAACAAAGGCTGAAACGACAAGGTTATATGGGTGACATCAGTGTACATCAATTGCTGCCCATTTTAAAAACAAATTGCGACTATACTGTTTCTTTGGGTACTTGAATAATGCCAGGAAAACTATGAAGATGTCACAGGAGGGGAATCAGGGCTTGATTTATCACCACCACCAAGTCTTCTAGATTCACAGTAGATGTTAAAAAAAAAACAGTTGTCTTTAGTATACAATACCTGTTCAGTCATTTGTTAAACCATCCAGACCACTTTGATGAAGGCACCTTTTTTGCCCTACTTGTTTTAGAATAATCGCATCAGATTTTGGGTGCCCAGAGAATGTCATTTATGTAATCAAAACAGTATGGCTGTATGAAAAACACTGGCAAAACGAAATTAAAACTAGAAAGGCCAATATTTGCTTTGGAGCAAATACAGCGATGGGCTCACCACATTTTACCACATGGCAGGGAAAGAATGAGAAACACAAGGGAAAACAATGATTTACATTTGATATAACTATAATATGAAGTAACATACAACTAAAACAACAGTTGGATAGCTATTCCCTACTTTATTGGTTAGGATTTTTAATTGCATAATGCAAACTGTTGATTTTTAAAATAAAAAAAAAACGTTCATGCCCCGCATTCCAATGCTGGAGCAGAAAGCTTGAAATACCTACCAAAACACTTGAATAAAGACATACTGTCAGTATGGAAATGCTCTGTGCAGGTGTTAATCAAGTTAAATCCCAACAGCCAATCAGCAAGAAATGCTCTGTGCAGGTGGAAATGCTCTGTGCGGGTGTTAATCAAGTTAAATACCAACAGCCAATCAGCAAGAAGTATAGAGGAAAGCTGCATGCCTATTGGTTGATGCCCTGCATTCCATTGTGATGACTCATGCCCAGACGTGGTAAACACGGCACACTAACACAGTAATACATTTGCTATAACACAGCCAAAAAACTCAAATAAAACCATTCTAAAAGCCTGTATCACAAAAATTTTAAAAACGCCTAGGGGTATTTGCCCACTGTACCTCCATACCAAATTTCAGGACCTTAGGCCCTCAAAATGAAGAAGCTGAATCCATTTAAAGATATGGCAGGAGGAGGAGGAAAAGGAGGAGGAGAAGAAACATCAGAAAAAGCAATATGGGTTCACCACCACTTCGTGGTGTGGTGAACCCATAATAAAAAGAATGATTTGATTATCCGCAACATGGATCAACCTGTCAGCCTTTTTAAACTAGCGGTAAGAAACCACTTGGCTATGCAACATTGATGGCATCATGTGGATGTTTTTTTTTTGTTCTACTACGAAATTGAAAAAGAACACGTGAAAATAATGTCAAAATCAAAATATAAACAATCATTACTGTATGTCAACACCATTAGGGGAACACGAACAGAAAAAAATGAAGATGAAGGCAGGATAGAGAAGAATTCCAGATTTAATATTGGTACCTACACAAAATCAATGGCACTTCCGTCACGCATACCACCTGATGTCTATCATTGTGACCCATGTAAGGATCTAATAATGTTTGACAAGTATTTACTCATATATCCATAGGTAACGGCAAGTTAAGATTAGACCCCAGTCATGTACCGTTGAACGTCTTACACCACCGGATATGGACATTTGTTTAAGATCATCTTCAGTATTACTGTTGTCATCGAAGTACGTCTTCGAAAAAGACAATGTAACACCCGTGTGTAAGAAATGAAATATGTAACGATATGTAACACCTGTGTGTAAGAAATGAAATATGTAACGATACGTAACACCTGTGTGTAAGAAACTAAATGTGTACAAAGATCGAGACTTACACAGGTGTAAACTTAAAGATCATCAACTGTACTTCTGTGATGTCGGCAGATTGATAACATCGTGTTGGCTTACTAGAATATGCTGGAATTGATTCATTAAAGACATATCTTTTACCGTTTGTATGTCAAGAAGACATGGCCTGGTTTCAAAACAAAATATCTAACAGCATTTACCATCACTTGATCTATTGAGCATGAACAAACATCGATAGATCCACTATACAAACGATGAAAAGAGATCACAAATCGTAAGATCTGAAAAGCAATACTTTGCTTATATGATGATGCTGATAATATATTATACCCGAAATAATATGATGCAAAACCTACGCTGGTAACAAAATGTTTGTAACAATTAAGTGTTTGCCGACATTATTCGATCTGCCGTTCGTCATTGGGACTGGAGATATCATAAAAACGTTTTATATCTTATTTGCTTATTTTAGTATTGTATATCATACTAACATGTTTTCATTTTTTATCATTTAATCTAGGAAAGTTAGGGTCTGCACTGTCAAGTCGTTGGATACTGCACGGAACACCATAATTTTGGTAATCACTTAACAAAAAATAAAGCACTGACAGAAATTGAAGAACAGCTTAGTTACACTTCTACATGGAGTGGCAACATCAACCTGTCAGCATTTAGAAAATTGCAGTTGAAAACGACTTGACCATGCAACATTGATGACATCGCACTGATAACAGATAATGTTCAGTTTCCTCTGTTCTATAACTAAAAGTGATAAGATCATGTGGAGATTATGTTGGCTTACAAAGTCAAAATAGAAACAACAATGAAACAACACCATCGGTACTAAACACGAACAGAAAGAAAATGTAACATTAATGGCACGATAGAGAAGAATTCGAGATTTAAGATGGTAGCATTAAGGTCGCTGGCATGTCTGTCTTAATTAAGAGACAGAATGTTTGTTCACTTTTAACGTATGTACCATCCGATGTTCATCATTGTGACCCACGTAAGAATTTAATAATTCCTTTTTAAGCATTTACTCATATATCCATACGTAACGATAAGTAAAGATTAGACCCCAGTCATATACAGTTAAATGTCGTACACTTCAGAAAAATAACATGTCTATTTAATCACTTTCAGCAGATTCTGTTGTTCTCGAGTGGTAGTTACTACCTAAAAAAGGCATGTTAATGGAAAAGGAATGAAGACCTCATGTAACACCTATATAACATGTGTACGACACAGATTTTGTATAAAGACCAAAACGTATTACCGCTAACTGTACTTGGGTGATGTCGGCAGATTTGAAACGTTAAGTTGCCTTTGTATGAATATGAAGGATGTATTTTGTATTTTGATGGATGGAATCACTTTGTTATTATGTTAAGATGTAATGCTGTGATAACAGCACACTTTAGCAGCATTTACCAACACGTGATCTCACATGAGCACGAAGAATGACAGACGCATAAAAATGTAACTGATGTAAAAAAGATCATACATCGGACGATCTGTAATGCACTATATTGCTCATTTACTGATGATGTTACTATACCCGAAATAATAGCATGCAAAACCAAACGCTGGTAAAGGAGTTTGTACGAAGGCTGTACACTTTTCGATCTGCAGTCCATCATTGGGACTGGAGATACATTTAAAAGATTAAGTTTTTTATTTACTTTGCTTATTCCAGAATATACTTGAATGCTTGCAGTTAAATATGACTGTTTTCATAACTGTCTTCATTGTCAGAATATGCATGGTTAGCTGATATTATATACGTGTTTGTGTATTTTGTGTGTGTGTGTTTGTTTGTGTGTGCGCGTGTGTGCGTGTAATGTGAGTGTGTGTGCTTGTGTGTGTGAAATCTATATATACATAACAATTGAATATAACAAATTTAGCATTCAATTACTTATTTACCGCACAAATCAACACGATCTAAAAGCCACTAACATTCGATATAGTTGAAATATAATCCAGTTGCATTGATAGGTACATTGTACATTTAGAAAAATGAGCTTGAAAACTTTTTAAAAAATCACAGGTAGAAAAAAAATTCGTAATAACGGTAAAGATTAAGGATTTTTCATGATGAAACAGCGGCTGTTTTATATACTTGATAATGAGTATTTTGCCAAAAATACACACACGACGGGTAAAATGTTCGATCCTACGGAAGGATATCAGGTTACCGCGGTTCTACGCGCGTCTTCCTTGGAGCCAGCTTAAACGGTAAACCTTTTCTCAAACAATAATAGTTTCAAGGGGACTCTCTTGTCCAAATGTAATAAAATCGGCACTGCATATAGCTCAAATGTTGTTTTTATAACAACGCTTAAATGTGTGTGAAATCACTCTCAACGCGTCGAATGATTATTCTAGTACAATCGACGTCAATAAGTAAACTACACTTACTACTTACTAGTATTTAAACCGACCCAAAATCTCCCAGAAAATCCTAATTTTTTGCGCTGTAGAGAACAGTTTAACAAAATTCAGATTTGAGTCGGACAGTTTTCTCTATTTCAAAGTTAAACTGTTGCTAAGTTTAAATAATTCGCTAAAAATGCGTTTTTTTTTCAACTTTCAAGACCAAAAATTCCAGAAAACGCCATCTTTAATAAATCCGTCCGACACAGATCTTGATTTTTGTCTTGCCTACAAGTAAAAACCTTTTTGAGGTAAAATGAATTTGTTTTTGTTGCGGTTAAAATACCATGTTTGCACGCATGTCA